AAATGAAGACAGAAGAGAATGAAAGATTATCTGTGGAATATTACTGCCCCAGCAATTGCCTAAGTGATCCAAGGAACCCGAGATAAAAATGTTCAGGCTCTCACAGTCTCTGAAAGCGAGACTCAAGTCTCCGTCTCTCATCGAGTCTCTCCGATTTCGCTGAGAGAGACTGTCCAAAAAATTTGTTTAACGTCTCTGAACGAGAGACTAGAATCTCTGAACGAGAGACTAGAATCTCTCAGTAAGTGGTGTCTCGATAGACATGGTTAAAATTTTTTAAGTTCAACATATTTCAGAGATCCCAGTCTTTTTACGAGAGACTGGAGTTACTCAATTTTTCAGTTTTACTCATTCAGTCTCTCTGTGAGGGATTCGAATATCTGAATTAACAATTTTATCGTTCGAGTCTCTCATACAGAGACTATGAGAGATCCATAAAAACACCTAGGCAATAACTGAGAGACTGTGAAAGACTGTGAGAGACGCTCTCAGAGACGCTGAAAGACTCTGAAAGACTCTGAGAGACTGGAGAGGGACTGAAAATGTTTGTCTAGGGAAACTACAGAAAAACTTGGACCAAGGCAGACGGACCCGGAATTGACCTTCAGATTATATGTAAAATTACGATTTGTTCTTGCGAACTTTAAAGTGTCTGCCAGAAACTAGCGCCGATGGGAAGTATTTGGCAGTGTCAATTATTATTAATTTTCAACAATATTCTGTGAAACATTATGTAAAAATCAGCACTCAGCCTTTAAGGAAAGTGAGTAATGTTTTTACGTACCTTTAGCACCTGATATCTGCAAATTGGCCCACGGTCCAAGTTAGGAAGTATGCATACGTTCAGAAAATAACTAATGTCTAGCGGCTCTAGGATCTTGATCTACAAAATGTGTTGTTATTTATACATTTCACTACATCATTAAACAGGAACAAAGCTGTCATAACGTCACCCTTTTAGGCTGCCATTTTATGATGTTTAAAAGGTCCATTGAACACAATAATTATAATCGATAATTATCTCACTGCGTCACCACATTTGATTCGCAAAGAACGGATAGAAGCAAAGCGGATTCTATGCAAAAACATTTAATTACTTACCTACGTGATACTCAANAAAGAAAAAAATAAACGATTTATAAGTTTTTTTAATGGAAAGTTTAACGTACCGTCTCCTTAATGAGTGCCTACCAATTTATAATTACAATTTGAAAATGACTGTCAGTTAGATATAAAAAGGGTCCTCAATAGCATCGTATGGTTTATTCACACAGATATTATTTTCAATTTAACTTCTTTACAATGAGAATATTATATACTTCTGAAAACGTTTGCAAAACAAAAATACACATATAGTTATAAATACAGACAAAGAAAAAACGCATGTTCGTTTATATGGCAAAATTCCTTAAATCTAGACTCGTAATATGCATACGTGTACATAGAAAGTTAAAGTATAAAGAACAAAAACCAAGGTCTTTCAATTAATTTTATTGACCTTGCCCATTCTTTTTTTTGCAAAACACACTGCAATGCGATAACGATCCCATAATTTTATTTTTATCAAAACGCCTACTATTACTATAAAAAATAAGTGTTGAACTGCCATTCGGCACTCTTGGTAAATTTACTTTCAAATCCGTCATACCGATCGACGACTAATTCGGATTTAATTGCATTAATTAAATCCCGATACCGTTGTTAGCAGAGTACAAGAAATTAGCCAGAAAATGAAATAAAAAAATGTGGGTTCTGTGTATTTTCAAATTATTTTGTTATCGTCTCACTCACCTCTACACAATTATTATAAAAAGATCTGTTGTAAAGTTCATACAGGTCATAATTAGGATTGGTTAGGAAGTTGTACCTGTACTCCCTAGACAATTATTATAAAAAGATCTGTTGTAAAGTTCATACAGGACTTAATTAGGATTGGTTAGGAAGTTGTACCTGTACTCCCTATACAAAAATTTTCCGTCTCTCTCTAGTGTCTCAGAGTCTTTCAGTCTCTCAGTTATTGTCTAGGTGTTTTTATGGATCTCTCACAGTCTCTGTATGAGAAACTCGAACGGTAAAATTGTTAATTCAGAGATTCGAGTCTCTCACAGAAAGACTAAATGAATAAAACTAAAAAATTGAGAGACTCGAGTCTCTCGTTCAGAGACTGGATACGAAATGAGGATCTCTCTATGAGCAACTCAAGTCTCTCGTTCAGAGACAGTTTTTTTTACTGTCTCTCGACAGTCTCTCTCAGCGACACCAGAGAGACTCAATGAAAGACTGAGACTCGAGTTTCGCTTTCAGAAACTCTGAGAGACTGAACATTTTTATCTCGGGCTGCGTCAGCAGTTCAAATATTCAAAAAGATAAACCAGGCATTATACATAATAAATTTCAAGTATAACCTACTCGGAAATTAATGTTTCCACTGGAATCAAATCAAATCAAATTGATCAAACTCAAAACTAATCATGATATTTCCACAATTAAACGTTTTACTTTCGAAAATTTCCTGTAGATACAACAGATCGCCGTTGCATAATGAATAATCTATTATTATTTACATCAATTAAAACATTACTTCCATTGAACATTCACATTAATCGAATTATACTGTATATATAATGAATGAATGTCCATTCACACTTCTTACGCAAAAAAAACATCGTAGTTAGTTACACGTAAAAAATCAATTAGGTGGAATGTTGAGTCTTTCTTTTGTCGCGAAACCTTGTACCAAGTTGTGACAGGAATTTACATTAAGGTAAAAATGGACCTACCTATTTATCTATTATTATATTTTAAGTTAATATGAGTGCTCGTTTACTGTTTTATGTAACTACATTAAGTATATATAGGGTTGTTCGGAAAGTCAT